CAGTGGATGTTGGCAATTTGGTCTCTGTTTCCTCACCATCTAAAGATGGTTCCTCTGCCATCTAGAGACCATAAGTAGAGTATAATTTAAAAAAGAAAAAAGAAAGAAAAAGGAGTAATAATGAGAATTTCCGACTTATTTAACAACTCTGGAGATCAGAGGTCTGATTTAGGTCTCACCAAGCTAAAACCAATGTATCAGGAGACCTTTGGGGGAGAATCGTTTGTGCTGTTTGCAGTATTTGGTTCCTAGTGACTGTAGAACCAGGGTCCCCATTTCTTCACCGACTGTCAGTGGTGGGCCATTCCCAGCCCTCGAGGACTCTCACTGACTCATATCCCTTTCTCCATCTTCAAAGACAGCACCAGCAGGTCAGCTCTCTCTGTCTTCAGCTGCCTTGTTTTCTGTAGTCACATCTCTGACCCTTCTTCTGCTTTCCTGTTTCACTTTAAGAACCCCTGTTCACACTAACACACCATGGTCACCCAGCACACTCTTCCCAGCTCAGCTTCCCAGGTTCTTAAATCACACCTACAGCGTTTCTTCTGCCATGTAAACTAGCACACTTACAGACCCTGGAGATGAAGGGCATAGGCTTTATTCCACCTGCCATGGCTTTGCGGGGGAAGATATGAATTCTCAAATTTGACCCAGGAAGAAGTAGGGTTACTTTATGTTAATAGAGGAATTAACATAGGAAAACATCTGAAAGTGCCATTATAGTAATAACTTTAAAAAGTCATCGGCACCAGCGAATGTTATAGGCAAATGACCCAAATTTTGAAGTGACAGATAAATTTGGTTGTATAAACTCTGGAAAAGATAGGAAAGTTTTTCATTTCATTTTGTGAAAAAGACATGTTCTTGTGAATCAGAATGCTTTGGTGTCTTAGATTCCTTTTTGTATGGGTCTTTTAGAAGTAATTTGAAACTCAAAGCTGAGCAAACATTGTTTCTGTTTTAGCTTTATCTTCCACCATCCCAGGGCAATAAAAGCTTCTTAAGGAGTGTAGTTCCAAGGAACAAAGAGAAAATATTCATAAAAGGAAAAGCCTAGGTTTATAGCACATACTTAAATTGTTTCGACTCTATCATCTTGGGTAAGAAATGCCCTCCTTGCAGGACCCTGAAAACAGAATAGAAAAAGAAAACGTAGACACACATGCATATATACAAATGGGCTACGTTCTAGAATTTAGGAAGAACTCCACTGCTGCTAAGTCACGTCAGTCGTGTTCAACTCTGTGTGACCCCATAGACGGCAGCCCACCAGGCTCCCGTCCCTGGGATTCTCCAGGCAAGAATACTGGAGTGGGCTGCCATTTCCTTCTCCAGTGCATGAAGAACTCCATTAGACAGTTTTTTAAAATAAAACTAACAGAGACAATTCACATATGACCTTCAGATGGCCTATATTAGTATGTTAAGACTGTTTTTTTAAAGATATTCACCCTCACTGGTTATTAAGAAACCTAACTAACATAATGAAGCCCTCCTTCCATCAGATTAACCAAATAAATAAAAACTTAATGCATCATGTGTATACACTTGTGTATAAACATATATTATACATATATATTTATGTTAAAATCCCGTGTGTGTATGTTGGTTACTCAGTTGTGGACTCTTTGTGAGTCCATGGACTGTAGCCCACCAGGCTCCTTTGTCCATGGAATTCTCCAGGCAGGAACACTGGAGTGGGTTGCCATGCCCTTCTCCAGGGGATCTTCCCGACCCAGGGCTTGAACCCAGGTCTCCTGCATTGTGGACAGATTCTTTATCATTTGAGCTCTCCGGGAAGCTCATGTTAAAATCCTAGGAGAAAGCAATTTGGAACCATTTATCTAAATTAGAATGGACATGCCGTTAGACACAGCAGTTGTGCATATACAAGTTACCTTATAGAGATGACTAACTCACCCAAAAAGACGTGCCTCTGTAGAATGCTGTCATTTTGTTTACAAAGGCGAAAAATTAGAAAAACACTAAGTAGTTAGGAACACTACAAATTTTTTCTCCTCACATTCCTTAAAAAGGGTAAGCTGATTTTTATACAAATCAAAGATAAATTTTTATGACCAAGCAAGTCCAAAAAGTAAGTTACAGAGGGGTGGACTTTTGGAATAACAGAAGAAGGACCTCTGCCAAAATCTGTTTCTCCATAAATAAAACAGCAGTAATGGCAGAAACACCAAAGTCAACTTGTTCAGAACTCTTAACAATTAAAGGACTGAGTCAATGTGAGGAGCATCTATTCAAATAAGACAAAAATGGCTCAATCTCAGAAATAATAGCATGCTTTGTACCATTTTAACTTCCCCTGTTTCCACCCTCCCCCTCTCCCAGATCTGCTATAGTCTTCGTTGACCAGCAGCTTTGCAACCACTGGGGAAAAAGAATGAATCTGGAACACCCTGAAAGTCCCATCCCCAGTAAATGGTCACTAGTTCCAGCAGCTCCCACAAAAGAAATCTTGCTCTTAGGGCTTGTCTTTACTTGACTTTAATCAGAACTCACTTAGGGAAAAACCCTATCCACAGAGCATCCATCAGAAATACTGAACATCACAGCTGCCCAAGGCAGAAATGGAGCAAACCAGAGACTGACCAGAAGCTTAACTGGAAAACCAGAGGCTAGCAGGAAACCTAAAAGGGAAATCTAAGGAATGGGATGTCCACTGGAGGTTTTGGAGAGCTCCAGTATGTTCCTAGGAACCTAGAAAGCCACACATGTGCAGGACTGGTCACAAGCCCAGGGGTGACCTAAGAAGCATTCTGTTTGTCAGATGAACTTCAGTCTCTGCATAGACAAGAAGGAAGACTGGATCTGAATTGTAAACTGCCTCATCGCAGGCACAGAGCTCCCAGCAGGGGCTCAGAGATGGCTGGTTCAAGGTGTTTAAGGAAAGGGAATTCCTGTCCCTTACCTGACCCCTTAGCTAACTGAGCAAAGACTTCAGGGGCACACAAAGCAAGGAATATAGACTTTACAGAATTAGTTTAGGGAAATCACTAAAAAAAAAAAAAAACCCAACAAGAAAACCAAATCTGGGCATTGGGATGGGAGGTGCTTGGCTCTCGCCACTGTCTAATTTTAGAACATTTGCAGTTACACTTCACCCCTCTCCCCCTCTCATACCTTTAGTGGGTTTATAGGTAAATCTAGTCCATTTTGTGTAGAATCTGACCACTTCTTACCGCCAAGCTACGGTCAGTTGGCTGACTTGGATTTTTGCAGTGGCGGAATTGTTCCCTGCCTTTTTTTTTTTTTCTCTCTCCCACCCTTAAACTGTTCCCAACGCACCTGTCAGAGGTATCCTTTGAAAATTAAGTCAAGCCATGTCATGCCCCTGCCCAAATCCTCTAGCTGCTTCCACTGGCTTCCCTTCTCAGAGTAAAAGTCATCAAACTCTGCAGGCCCCTCCTGCCAGGACGCCTACTGGCTCCCAGGCCTCAGCCCGCGCCCCCAGGCTGAGCGTTAGCCACGCTGGCTGCGCTGCTGTCCCCCAAACCACCGAGGCCCTGCTTGGGGCCTTGGCACCTGCTGTCCCTTCGTGTTATCTGCAGAGCTGGTGTTTTCCCTTCTCTGAGTTTTTGCCCAAACGTCCTGCATCTCAGTTCTCAGTGATGCCTTTCCTGACCATCCTGTTTCAAACTCCACCCCTTCCTCAGACACTTTCACTCACCTTTTCTGCTTTATCTGTGCCCACCATGTTCTCTGCCATGTGATGCCATGTAAAACTGTGCGTGTGTTTTGAATGTCTGTGTCTGTCTCCCCTCACTGGAAGCTGAGCGCCTTGGGGAGTGGGGTTTCTGACAGTTTCATTTCAGCTGTGTCTCTGTCCCCTGAGTGTCTGGTGCTTATTACGAGGCCCTTAGTTACTGTGGATCAGTGAATGAATGAAGGAGTGAGTGCACGCCAGGCGCTGTGCCAAGTCCTTAAGTCCCCATCACAGCCTTCCAGAAGTGTCCCCATGGGACCCGAGAGCCCTGCGTGGCTCTGGCTGCAGCCGGTCCTGTTCGCTTGTCCTCCGCTCCCAGCAGGACTTTGTGGAGCCCGTGCTCCTGCCTGGGAGCCTCGCCGCCCCGGAGCCCATGGGGAAGGCCCTGGGAGAGTCCCAGATGCTCCCCTGGACCAGTCTGGACATGGCCCTGTGAGCCCACACCCGCACCTCTCCAGACGCTGCTCCCTTGTGCTGGGGTAGCAGTGTCCCTGTTTGCAAACAATGAAAATGAAAGAGACGCTTTAGAAAAACCAGTGGAGGATTTATTTTTCCAATTTATTAATAATATAATCGCCACAGAATTGTTTCTGGCTTCTTATTATTAAGAAGGGCTTAATAATAGAAGGGCTTCCCTGTTAGCTCAGTTGGTAAAGAATCCACTTGCAATGCAGGAGACCCCGGTTTGGTTCCTGGGTCGGGAAGAACCCCTGGAGAAGGGAAAGGCTACCCACTCCAGTATTCTTGGGCTTCCCTTGTGGCTTAGCTGAGACAGAATCCACCTACAATGCAGGAGACCTGGGTTCGATCCCTGGGTTGGGAAGAACCCCTGGAGAAGGGAAAGGCTACCCACTCCAGTATTCTGGCCTGGGGAGTTCCATGGACTGTATAGTCCATGGGGTCGCAAAGAGTCAGACAAGACTGAGTGACTTTCACTTTCTGTTATTAAGGGTGATAACATCAGTAAGGGAGAATCCAGTCATTTAATCCATGATTTCTGAAATTGGATTTTTTTTTCCATTTTTGTAATATGTGTACACACTTAGACCACTGTAGTATAAATAATTTGTAGAAAACTCTAGCGGTCCTTCATTGTTTAAAAAAAATGGGCAGCTATTCTGATACATAAAAATGCATGCATCTTAATACTCCATGGAGTCATTATGTTGATGGTGTGCATAAAGAAGTATCATAATATTGATCATTTATTAAAAGCAGTAAATTAAGTAGCAGTGAAAGCATCTGGTGTTTCATTATTGCTACTGAATTTTTCTTCTAGGACAAAGTTCTAAAAACATCAGTTCCTCTCCGAGCATTGAGAGTTTGCCTGGAGGGAGAGAGTTCACCGGCTCCCCACCTTCATCTGCTGCTAAGAAGGATTCCTTTTTCAGCAACATCTCCCGATCGCGCTCACACAGCAAAACTATGGGCAGAAAAGAATCTGTAAGTATTTTAAGGACAGTTTTCTTTTTATTCTTCATTTTCCTCTAAAATGCCTCATTTGTGAAGCCCCTTTTAGTGCCTAGTTTTATAAAGTTCTTAAAATCATTATGGACTAAAATGAAATATTTCATCAAAAATATTTTGATTATTATAATTTAGTAATATTTTAAGGCTGTCATCTGTATTATACTGGGTTGGGAACAAGGTGACGTAGTATCAGTTTAAAGTAAACTGAATCCTGAATTTTCATTCTTTTCTCCTTTTCTGTCAAAGCCTGTGCTGTCTTCTAAAATGTAATAATTATCATAAGAAACCATAGAATAAGATACTTTAAACAGACCAAGCTGCTTTTTCAGTTTTAAGTATTTCTTGAAAATTAAAGTTATTTTACCAATTGTTTTTAAAAGTTGTACAAATTATATTTAAATTATGTTGTATTGATAGCCACCAATGCCTTTTGTATACATTACTCAAAAGCATATAGCTAATACATAACTACCAAAAAAAAAATCTGGTTTTTAAAAAATGTTAAGTCACCTTCACAAGAACTAAAATATTTATCACATTTTATAGCTAATTCAGCATGATATTCTAATATGAAGAATTCCGCTGCCCACTGGAAGAGGCTGTAACTGTGAGGCCTCACAGAAAGGGGTCTGGATGTGGCTGAAAGGGTGCTGAGATGGCAGAGTAAGGCTGCTGAGATGGGGGCCGTAAAACCGCTGAGGGATAATTATTCACAGCTCACAGACGCGGTAACGGCGTGGTGTCTGTCTGTGTGACTGGAGGACCCAGTTTCCTGGGGCCTCGGTGCCTCGTCGGCAGGTTAAAACAGCATCCTCTGCTCTGGAGGGCAGAGGTCACCCCACGCTCACTCGGGGTGCTTCTCTCACGCACACGAGAGCGGCGTGGAATGCTTGTCTGATGGCGGCAGCTCTCATGCAAGCAGTCAGCTCTGCTCCCTCCTAGACTCCACCCCAAGGCCAGGGAACGTGCTTAGAGACAAACCCTCCAGGAGTGAGAAACAGTAGAGAAGGCAACAGCAACAAGATTCTGTTACTTGGAAAGCAGATGTGAAGTGGAAGCTAACGCAGCAGCCTAAGAGAGCTGGATGCTAAGGCAACGGTCGGGAAAAACCAAGAAGCATCTTGAGCGAGATGGTAAAACCTTCTAGAAGCTCAGGAGCAGTGGGAGCTTAGGAGCAGGGTGAAGATGGAGCTGAAGACATGTTGTGGTTCAGTCACTCAGTCATGTCTGACCCCATGAACCACAGCACTCCAGGCTTCCCTGTCCATCACCAACTCAAACTCATGTCCATCGAGTCGGTGAGGCCATCCAACCATCTCATCCTCTGTCATCCCCTTATTCTCCTGTCTTCAATCTTTCCCAGCATCAGGGTCTTTTCCAATGAGTTGGCTCTTCACAACAGGTGGCCAAAGTCTTGGAGCTTCAGCTTTAGCATCAGCCTTTCCAGTGAATATTCAGGGTTGATATCCTTTAGGATTGATTGGTTGGTTCTCCTTACTCTCCAAGGGACTCTCAAGAGTCTTCTCCAACACCACAGTTCAAAAGAATCAATTCTTCTGCATTCAGCCTTCTTTATGGTCCTGCTGTCATACCCACACACGAACACTGGAAAAACCACAGCTTCGACTAGGCAGACCTTTGTCGGCAAAGTAATATCTCTGGTTTTTAATATGCTGTCTAGGTTGATCATAACTTTTTTTCCAAGGAGCAAATGTCTTTTAATTTCGTGGCTGCAGTCACCATCTGCAGTGATTTTGGAGCCCAAGAAAATAAAGTCTGTCACTGTTTCCCCATCTATTTCCCACGAAATGATGGGACCGGATGCCATGATCTTCATTTTTAGAATGTTGAGTTTTAAGCAAGCTTTTTCACTCTCCTCTTTCACCTTCATCATGCAGCTCTTTAGTTCCTCTTTGCTTTCTGTCATAAGGGTGGTGTCATCTGCATATATGAGATTGTTGATATTTCTCCCGGCAATCTCGATTCCAGCTTGTGCTTCATCCAGCCTGGCATTTCTCATGATGTACTCTGCATAGAAGTTAAATGAGCAGGGTGACAACATACAGCCTTGACGTACTCCTTTCCTGATTCTGAACCAGTTGGTTTTTCCATGTCTGGTTCTAACTCTTGCTTTTTGACCTGCATACAGGTTTCTCAGGAGACAGGTAAGGTGGTCTGGTATTCCCATCTCTTTAAGAATTTTCCAGTTTGTTTTGATCCACACAGTCAGAGGCTTTAATTAGCATAGTCAATGAAGGCAGAAGTAGATGTTTTTCTGGAATTCCCTTACTTTTTCTGTGTTCCAGTGGATGTTAGCAATTTGATCTCTGGTTCCTCTTCCTTTCTAAATCTGGCTTGTACATCTGGAAATTCTTGCTTCATGTACTGTGAAGCCTAGCTTGAAGAATTTTGAGCATTACTTTATAAACCTCATACCTGCCAGAGACACTTGGAGGGCACAAACAGAACCTCGTGCGCACCAGGGCCCTGGACAGGAGCCGTGGGACTGAGCCACAGGGGCCTGAGGCAGGCCTGCCTGCAAGTGAGCGAGGGTCCCCTGCGGAGCTGTGGTCAGCCACGGCCCTGGCCCAGGACCGGGCTCCGGCAGCTGCCGTCCTGGGAGGCGTGGCTCACGGCGTAAGCCCCGCTACAGAGCCACCAGAACTCGGGGGACAAAGAGATATCCCACAGAAACAGAGAGTTGGGGAAAAAGAAAGATTTCCAACAAAGGATCGGGAATTATAATAGCTACAGATTTTGCATGGCAACACCAGAAGTAAGGCAGTGGAAGAATTCCTTTGAAATTCTGAGAGGAAGTTACTTCCAACCTAGAATCAGTCCCCAACCAAGCTAACTAAGTGTGAGGGTAAAATATGGTGACTTTCAGACAGCAAGATTCAAACAAGTGTACTCCCGTGAACCCATTCTCAGAATCCTCTGGAGGACATGCCCCACAAACACGAGGGCAGACACCAAGGACAGAGAACGTTCAAGAGCAGGGGGCAGAGTGTGACAGAAGGAGTCTGCAGAAGGGTGGTGTGGGGAATCCTCGGAGCACGTGGAGCATCCTCGTCAGCAGATCTGAGGAGCAGCCGCCAGCCCGGATTGGAGCAAGTCAGAAGGTTCCAGAAAGTTTTCTCTATAAAGATTAAGTTGAAAGAATAACTAGTATATTAAACAAATTGAGAAATTTGTACAGCTAAAGGAGAGTTTTAAGTTTGAATTAGTGGTAACTTCATAAAAATGAAGCCATTAAAACCTTGGACGATGGTAACCCCAAAGAAAAACCAAGAGAGTACAAGAAAAGACAGAAAGGTATTCATGAACCCTGTCAGTGAGCCAGGCCAGGAGCTTCTCTGCACCCTGTCTAGTAGGGGCTGACGGTTAATCACGACCAAGTCCCGTGAGAAGGTGGGTGGGAGCCTTTGCCGGGGGAGGCGGGGGGCGGCGGTGGGCAGCAGAGCTGGTCTTCAGCTTCCTTCTTGGAGATCAGTGAGTGGTCCTCTCTAGAAGAATCAGGACGTGGCAACATAAGCCTGAGCTATAAAAGGGAGAAAAAAATAGTGCAAAGAATTGAAAGTGGTTGCTGGTGGAGAGCAGGAAGTGGAGGGTGGGGCTGTGTGAACTCTTTTTCATAACAAGCCTTGTAGAGCCATTTGACTCTTCAAAGTGTTACATATGTAGCTTAGATTAAAAATGATAACTAAAAATTGCAACAAAAATAGAGTGTACTGGCATAATAGATTAGAAGAGGAGCTGTCTGCCTGCACAAAGAGCATGCCTCTGAAGAGCGGGGGTGAGGACTCAGAAGTGAGGAGGCATATGGAGACGTGTTGGATCTGCGTTCGTCCTGTTCTGGTGGCATATGGGTTAGGCTGCAGCACCAATTCATTACTTTTCCTTTATGGTGCAGCCGTAAGTTAAAACTGAAAAGTTGAGCAAAAATAGAGACAGAGTAAGTCTAGCTCTCTGCAGAGATCTGCTGTGAACCTAGAAACAGAATGCCCCCTTTATTATTCAAAATTTCATGTCTTTCTTAACTTGTGGGGGGCAGACAAATTTTCAGAAGAAAGCCCATCGTCTTCCAGGTATTGCAGTTTGAAAAAAGGCGTTAAAACAAAGGTAATCTAGTGGTAGCTGTCAACCTAAGAGTGGTGAAATCTACTTATAATGTTTCTAATCTAATCACTGAGAATTGATTTTTCTTCATCATCAATATAAGTATGATGTATTTTGAAAAAGAATCATGTATTAGGTCATAGAACTTATTTCCTCTCATTATTGCCTTTTTATGTATTATAGAAAGACTTTGTAATCCATGGGCTACCTTCTTTAAATGTACTCCTGTTAATGCCTCTGATCTGGTTGCATAATAAAAGAATACAAAACTCAGCTAAGTCTATAGAGAGGTAACAAATTAAGCTTTTTGCCATTTATTTATAAAAGACATTATTATAGTACTTTTCTGAAATGTGCACAAACCAGTAAGAAGTTTAAGAATTGACCTTACTTCTTTATCAGTAGTAGTAGTATTCTGAAGGTTGGTGTTTATTCATGGAAACGAATTTCCCTCTGCTTTGCTTCCTGGAAGTCTTTAGGTCTTACCTAATTCTATCCAAGTGATGTAATTTTTCCTCAAGACTAAAAAAGCTCTGATTTTTTAGTCTTGAGGAAATTGGCAGTTTTGATACTAAAGTTTTCATGCTTTATTTTGTGTGGTAATATAAATGACATCCAATACTTAGTTTTCTAGAAATCTATTTTAGTTGGTCATTCATCGAGTGCTAAATAAATTTTTACTTGTTTTAGCACGATTAGTCATGTTCTATGATTGTTGCCAAGTCGTTTTCCAAGAATATCTTTGCTGAGGTTAAAGAATAGAGAATATAAGAAAGACTCTAAAATGGATTTGTGTAGGTGAATAAGTTCTAATATTTAAGCACATTAGCCAATTAAATGATCTTTTCTAAATT